TGTAAAATGAGAATATTAAATTTCCCTTTGAGGTCCCTAATCTATGGTCCCCAGACCCATTGTGGCCCACCAATAACCTTGACCTTTAAGGTCTTCAGCCTCCTAAGTGCCTTTTTTTTTTTAACTGAATGGGCAAAACCTCTCTTTTGGCTGACTCCGTCAACAAAAGGGAGATGGGTCTATGGGAGTCTCAAAAAGTGTTAGGAAAGGACTGTGATATCTGCAGCAGCCATGAGGAGAGGAAGGGGATCTCAGGCACTCTGGAGTGGAGGAGAGGTCTGGAGAATTGAGTCCCAGGCCAGGGCAGCTATTTGTATATAAGGGAGGTTTGTAACTTGGATGTTTGTGAGTTGAAAACGACCAATAAATTGAGACCTTTAACACAATGGATTGTAACATTTAAGCTGATTCTTGAAACAAGGGCAGCCAATGGACAAGTCTATGTTCCCCTTAAATTATATTTTCTTATTTTTATTATGGAAATAAAGGATTAATTTCATAATGCCGAAATCTGTCTGACTTGGGGAAGAGAAGTTAATGAAAAAGCAGTTTGGATGTCATATGGACTTTGATTTCCTGAAGAAAGAATGGGAACAAGGAATTCCAATAACTGGAAAAACAAAACAAACAAATTTATATTTAAATAGTATCATTCTAATTTGCGAGAGTTTGTTTTTGCTTGCAGGAATATGAGAAAATTCAGTCTATTGTATTTCCTGACAAAGTGTGGCAGCTAGCAATGTAGGTTAAAGCACATCATACTTAATTATGTAATGCACTGCCTTTCCACAGCAATGCAGCATTTCTCCAGATATTTTTGTTGGTTCCACATCAGATCACATTACGTTGCTATTTCCGTTGTGAGCACTTGGAATATCGGCATCCTTGTTAAGATTAAAAAATAAATCCAATAACTCTTAAAATTGTGTTAATATTGGCTATGTTCTCAGAAAGAAATTAGCATCAATTTTACTTGAGATTGAAAAGTATTTTCAAAGGATAGCGTTGTGAAAATGGCGGTAAATGGCGCTTGAAGTAATTAGGGTGTTTAACAACCAGGAATGAAAAAAAGCCACTAATTACTCCCAGCTTCATTTCCCCCCCTGCAAGGAGAGGAAAACCTGGAAAGGATTTGAATTTTATAAAGACTGAAATTTTTATTTTGTTATTATTATTATTTACTATGCATGATCAGGCGGGCAAAGGGGGAAGGAACACTTTTCAAAAGTACTTTGTGATCTATCATTCAACATTTTAAAAAATCTACTGTATACTGAGCACTTGGCTAGGTACTGGGGGAGATACCAAGTTGGCATACCTGAGTTACATACCATCTCATGTACGATTTTGAGAGTGTATGATTTTTGGACTTTAGAAGCCATAGGATTACTGCTGTGCTACTGACATTCTTTGCCATCTTAGCCAAATCATTTTCCCACCCTAGGTTTCAGTTTCAACATGTGTGAAATGAAGGGGTTGAACTGGATGGTACTCTAAGTTCCTCCCAGCTCTAAGATTCTGTGACATCTATGACATTTGAAGGAAGACAAGTGATTTTTGTTGTTTATGGAGAAGGACTGTAATGGAAACTTCTGCTGGGCAAGGACTCTTGATTTTTTCCTTTGTCACGCACATAGTAGGTGCTTAATTAAATGCTTGCTGAATTGAGCATCCCCACAGATTTTGAATCCTTTCTCATAATAGTAGTATCCTGCTACTGGCACAAATGATGACTTCTGCTAGGCTTTGTTAAAAACAAAAACTAATTTGGTTTCAAATTGCCCCAGGGTTTGTACTACCGCCCCACCTCCCCCACCCACCCACCACTGGTCTTTCTATTATTTCCCAGAAAAACAATGATACCTATGTTCAGGTCCCTTTCAGCTCTAAATTTAGTGATCTGTAAGCCTGTGTAATAGAGTAATACAGTATTAGGTTTTTTATCAACTCTATTTTTGTTCCTTTAGGAACATTATTTTCTCAATCTGTGGTTCTGTTTGTACCAACTGGTCCTGCTCTGCCCTGTGCCCTATTTTAAAATGTTACATAGAGATGTTTAAAAAAAAAAGCCATGTTTTTGGCACCTGGCTGTCTAAATGCAGGTGCACAGTATTTGAGTATAGCTTTTTGGTTACTGAGAGTCCCTACTTCTGTATCTTATATTGCAGGTGAGGGGTTGTGGTGTGAAACAAGAAGCTTTATTGGGGTTATTTTGTTCTGGGAAAATGACCTTATGTCAGGGCAATGTATTGGAGAATAAGCAGGATGTAGGAACAAGGGATACTACTTTGAGTCTTGGCTCCAGCACTGTGGGACTCAAGGCTGTATTGCTTTATAAAATGGGTCTAAGGCTCTGAGAGCTAGCATTGGAAGGGCCCACAGAAGCACGTAGGAAACTTCCATTTGCCGTGAGAGTCATCACTAAAGGATGATGGATAGCACCCACAAATTTGCAAAGTGCTTTACATGTTATTTCATTTAATTCTTATTCCAGTTCTGTGAGGTAGGTGTTATTATTCCCAGTTAAGGAAACTGAAGCTCAGAGTGGTTAAATAGCTAGATCACTGTCACACAGCCAGGAAGTATCTTGAGGCAACATTCAAACTCAGATTTTCCTGACTCCAAGTCTAGTGTTCTATTCACTAGGCAACACTACCTCCTAGAAATGTGACCTCTTTTGATGTTCTTTTTCTAGCCAATCCAAGGCAACCAGGTCCTTTTCCATTTATAAAATATTTATTGTTTGCCAGGACCATGGAGAGTGTTACTGCCCAAATGCTTCTCTTTTTGCTGAAAGGGAGCTTGAATAGGCCACACTACACCAATCATTTAACCAATTCCAAAGTGGCTGTATTAGCATAGGGGAAGAAACATAGAAAACCTGGCAGTAAGCATTCCCATATGGGACATTTCCCCCAAGCTTATAACAAGTATTAGCACAACAAATCAATTAAGTATTAAGTGCCAACTGTACGGTCAACACCATCTTGGGTACCGTAGGGATTACTTTAAAGCACCCCAGAGAGGCATCTATTTGTATCAGCTCAATATTGCTGGATAAATCAATACAGAAATGGGAATACAATTAAAATGCTTTATTTCATACTCTGCCCATTTCATGACTCTTTCATATACCCTTTAAAAATATATGGCTAAGCTGATGAGAAAAGAGGATTCTTTCTGTTTTTAGAGGCTGCATTGTTTCTAATGGAGAAACATATCAGAGGGATGATCATAGGATAGTGAAAAGAGCACTGGATTTGCAGCAGGAGGTCATGGGTTCAAATCCTTACTCTGCTGTGTGATCTGTGTGACCTTGTAAATGTGCCTCTTTCTCTTTGGGTCTTACCTTCACAGTTTGTAAAATGAGGTTGTTGGACCAGGTGATTTTGAGTTTTCTTTCAAATGAAAAAGCCTCTCTGTGATCTTGGTCATACACTTGGTTGGTAAAACATCCTCAGATCAGTCCATGTATGCCCACTTTTATTTTTCCATGAGTATCTTTATCCTTTTTAAATTATCTTTTTATTATGAACTTAATGATTAATTAGTATAAACATTTCCCCATACAAAGAACAACAACAAAAAGTATGTGAAACCATGGATGTCTATTACATAGTTTGTTTTTAAAAATGTGTATTAAATTTAACAAGAGAAGAGTTTGCCTCAAACCGGGCAAATTAGCAAAAGATAGGAACAGAGAGAGAACCGATTGAGGAGAGATGAGAATAATCAGTTTGAGGGGTGGTGTTGTGGCAAGATGGGTATGCTAATGTATGATTGATGGGGATGTGAATTGGCGCAACCATTCTAGAAAGCAATTTGAAATTATGTAAAGAAAGTGACTAAAATGTCTGTATTCTTTGACTCAGAAATTCCACTGCAAGCCATGTACCCAAAGGAGAGCAATGTCAAAAAAGAAGGTTCCACGTACATTGAAATATTTATAACAACACTTTTTTTTTGTAGTAACAAAGAAATGGAGGGGGTGGGGAGTAGATGCCCATTAAATGAGGAATGGTTGAATAAATTATAAAACCTGAATGCAATGGAGTATTACTGTGCTGTTTAAAAACAAAATAATAGGTATGATGAATACATGATGCATGGAAAGATATGTGAACTGATGCAAAAAAGCAAAGTAAGCACAACTGGGAAAACAACATACATAAGGACCTAACAATGCACTGGAAAAACAATAACAAAACAATTGAAATTGAGTGCTGCAGACTTATAATAATCAAACTTGCTTCTCCCCAAAAGCTATAAGATAGCACCTACCCTCTACCACTTTTTTTTTTTTGCAGAGAACAAGGACTGTGGGTATGGAACACTGCACAGTAATATCAAACTTTTTTGATGTGTTGGTTAGGATGAACTAATTCCCCCCATTGCAACACCACCCCCACTTTGTTATAAGGGATAGTCTGGAGTGGGGGTAATGATAGAGTGACATATTGGAAGAAACAAAAGATGTCAATAAATTTTAATTTAAAAAAAAGTTAAAAATTGGTTTTAAATTTAATTTGCATTTTTTTAAAAAAGAGAACATTGAAAAAAATGAGGTTCTGTTTATATCCCCTTCTGATCTTCTTTTTGCTGTCTTTGGTGTATTTTCTTTTTTAAAAAAAATTTTCAGCTCCAAATTCTCTTCTCTGCCCCTTCTGTCACCTATTGAAAAGCAAGAAACTCGATATTTGGTGTATATTTTGATGCAGTATTGATGCTTTTTTTCTTTTCTACGTCTTGATTACTAACCACTAATTTATCTCCCCCCTCCCTAAATTCAGCACCCTTCATTGTAACAAAAAAGCACGGTCAAGCAAAGTACTGCAACACATTGACCATATCTGAAAAAGTGTCTGATTGTGATCTGTAGACCATTGCCCCTCCAAAAGGTGAGAGACAAGGCCTCCTTAGAAAGCAGAGCCCTTTGGCCTCTCCAGCTCCCTTTGGTACCTGAATGCTGCTGCACAGATGGCTGCAGGTTCCCTTTGTAGTGGTGCAACCTCGACATGAAAGGCAGAGACACTTTTGACAGCCATCCCTCTCGACCCCACAAGAACAGCTTCCCGGAGATAAAAGCTTCAGATAGTGGGGACATTCCCACCACTGAACACTCTCTTGTGGGTGAGTGACGGTTGACACAGGTGGGCGTCAGGGGCTGCCTTTCTTTTGAAGTCTGTCTGTTGAAAGATAGTGCCACCTGTTGGTGATTTGGAGGTTTTTTTGGTCAGCTCAGGTGGCCATTACCTGTCCATCCATGCTGACAGCCATAAGTGGTTGTCAAGAGGTCCAACAGGGGGGCAAAGTTGGATGAGGGGCAAGGTGGCAAGTCTGGTAAACCTTGGTGCAATGTGACCGTTGAAGGTGATACCTTGTCATTTGTTTTTTTCAGGAACTAGGACAGGTGTCTCATCTGTCTCTCACTTTGAGCTGGTTCAGATAAAGCCAGCATTGGCTACACTTGCAGTACATTTTATTGTTGTTTGGATGGAAAAAAAATCACATATTAAGTGATACGCCATTTCCCCAAGCAAATAGAATGTGTTGGAAATTGCATGGCCTTATTTTATCTTGATTCACATTGTAATATAGTATATAGCACACAAGATCTTTGGTTCATTAATATAATGCTTGGAAGGGGAATGAAACTCTTAGACACTTACATTATGTTGTACTGAAATCTTGTCCCATCCCTACCCCACTTGGTGTCAATAATCTCTCTGTAATTATGTCCTAAATAAACCAGCTCACAAATCTTCAGGTTCATGCCTTAGCAAGAAGGGCTTTAGGGTTGTGGTTTTTAAAATAAATTAAAAACAAACAAACAAGCAAACCTCTAGATTAGCAGCTAGACAAATGTCCCTGGAAGAAGTATCATTTGCTAGGTAATTTAAGCTTTTCGAAAAACCTCAGAGGGTAAAAGCCAGGCTGAAGAAAATGTATACAGAGGTGTTGACTGATATGATATTCTGTCTTTTTCCCCCCAGCTTTTCTGCAAAGGCACAATTAATATTTCATGCAACAAGGCATAATAGTATAGTGGAAAGAAGACTGAACTAGAATTATAGATAATAAATTGTTTGAGAGCTTGAAGGGACTTCAGAAGCCATGTAGGGCAACCTCCTCATTTTTAGAGATGAGGAAACTGAGACTTAGGGAATTTAGGTGACTTGCCTAAAGTCACACACTAAGTAAGTGTGGGAGGTAGGATTTGAACTCAAGAAAGATTCATGATTTACTGTACTAAACTAGCTCCCCAAATCAATTAATCAACAAGCATTTATTAGGAACTTACTATGTGCCAAGCAATGGATTAAAAAAAAAACAAATGAAACAGTCCCCACCCTCCATACTACATTCAGAAAACCTGGGTTCAAACCTCGGCTCTACCAACTTTGACAAGTCAGATAATTTCTCTGAGTCTCATTTTTCTTATTTGTAAAATATGAGTAATAATGTTGAATGACATACTTCATAGGATCATTGTGAGGATCAAATATCATACATACTAGTGTGAATAATCATTCCCATGAAGTCGAGCGTATGTTTAAATTGGTCTGAGTTATAATCATGTAAAATGTGCTAATTGGTCCCAGTCCAATGGAAATATATTGCAGAAATGCAAATAATGTTGCCATTTCATGGGATTCATTATTGGCATTAATCAGGACCAGCAGCATGACGTCCTCTGAAACTAGTAAGTGCCATTTTCACAAATGTCAAGGATCTGTGATTTCTTCAGTGTGGCAATTTCACCAACAAAGTTGTCAAACTTGACCATAGTTTATAGTTTCAAAGAGTTGCCTTGGGTCCATGGTGTGAGGTGACTTGCCCATGGTTATACAACAATGTGTTGGAGGTAGGATTTGAACCCAGGGCTTCCTAACTGCAAGTATAGCATTATATCCGTGCTATCCCTCTCAAGTGCCATACAAAGAAAATTTATTTATCCATTAGTTAATCTACTTATTACTGTTGTTATTTGTTAAGTGAGCCGATGTGCCCAATCCAACTTTTCCTTATAAAACCGGAATTATCCCATAACACTATCATTTTGCGGTCACCTAGTCAATCATGCTTTTATTCAATTCACCTCAGCTATAATTGGGAAGCAGCAAATAGGAGGCAGTTGATAGAATACCAGACCTGGGGTTAGGAAGACTTGAATTCAAATGCTGCCTCAGACAGCTACTAACTATGTGACCTGAGGCAAGTAGTAATCTCTGCCTCAGTTTCCTCATCAATAAAATGGGGATAATAATAGCACTTATGTCCTGTGGTCATTGCAAGGATAAAATGAGATAATATTCATAAAGGTACTTCGCAAACTCTGAAATGCTATATAAATCCTAGCTAAGTGTGTCAAGAAGGGTTTTTACTTTATTATTATTATTATCATTGTTACTACCAACTGAGAAAAAGACATGTTACAGTCACATGATTTGTCAGAGGTCATTGGATGCATTGGGAGTGGGATATAATGGGGACCAGGCAGGGCCAAAGCCACCATTTGATCACTGGGTATATCTAAAGCCTTTCATGGAGTGCATCCATAACTGATGAAATAGGGGGGAAATGAATTATTTAAGGAGTTTTTAGAAAAGATTTTTTTAGGAAAGAGTTTATTGACTGAAAAAAGAACTAAAGAAAAGATGAAAAGAGGCAGCAAATTTCACAGAATACTGGCGCATAACTTATCTTTATAGTATCCATGTGATTATTCAGCCAAAATATAAGCACATTTATCCATACAGTTACTTAGTATTAAAGAATCATTTGCAGCATACTGCCTGTTTCAAAGTTCGTCTTGTGGAATAGAAAGTCCTGATGAAAAATGGGCATGAGCCATCTCACAGGCTTCATTGAAGCTTGAGAAAGTAGGCTCTCTTCTGTCTCCATATTTTCTCTTTGCTGATCGTACTACTTTATGCAAAGTTAGCAAACTTAATAAATGTTTGTTAAATTGAATTGTATTAAATTGGCTCTCATGTACTCCCATAGCTCCAGTCATCACCTCCATCCATGCAGATGATTTCTGGAGCTCCAGTTTTATAATTTCTAACTGCCTGCTTGATAATTCCTCTTGGATCCCTACCCCAGCAAGTTAAATTCAAAACTGATATAGAAAATTGCTCATATCATCCCTTCAGCCTCCCCCTTACCCTAACTTCCTTCTTTTTATGAAGTGTATCACCCTCCCCCATTATGTAAACTGAAGTCATCTCTGACTTCTGTCTTTTTCACTCCATACATCCAGCCACTTGACAAGTCCTATGTTTTTTTTTTTAATTTCCATATTAGTCAAATTGGGAAAGAAGAAACAGACCAAAAAAAAAAACCTGTTAAAAAAGGAAAAAATAATATGCTTCAATCTGCTATCAGACTCCATCAATTCTTTCTTTGGAGGTGGATAGCATTTTTCATCATGCGTCCTTTAAAACTGTCTTGGATCATTGTATTGCTTAGGACAGCTGTCATTCACAGGTGATCATAGTACACTATTGCTGTTACTGTGTGCAATGTTCTCCTGGTTCTGCTGACTTCACTTTACCTCAGTTCATGTAAGTCTTTACAGGTTTTTCTGAAATCATCCTGTTATCATTTCTTGTAGCACAATAGTATTCTATGATAATCACATATCACAACTTGTTTGGTCATTCTCCAATTGATGGGCATCCCCTCAATTTCTAATTCTTTGCCACCACAAAAAGAGCTGCTATAAATATTTTTGTACAAATAGGTCCTTCTCCCTTTTAAAAAAAGTCATTGGGATATAGGCCTATTAGTGGTATTGCTGGATCAAAGGGTATGCACAGTTTTATAGCCCTTTGAGCATAGTTCCAAATTGTTCTCCAGAATGACTGGATCACAACTCCACCAACAATGCATTAGTGTTCCAATTTTCCCACATCCCCTCAAACATTTATCATTTCCTTTTCTGTCATATTAGTTAATCTGATCGGGGTGAAGTGGTACCTCAGAGTTGTTTTAATTTGAATTTCTCTAATCAATAATGATTTAGAGCATTTTTATATGACTATAGATAATTTTGATTTCTTCATCTGAAAACTACCTGTTCATATCCTTTGACTCAGGTTATTGTTTGTCCTTCATTCTTGAAGAAGACCATGACATAAGGAAGATGATGACATGACTTGCAGTTGAATTGGATTTGAATGAGGGAGGGTTGTGCAAAGTCACCAGCCTCATTTTCTCCTCCAGAGCCATCTGGGTCCAGTGGCCAGATATAGATCAGGATCACTGGAGACGGCCCAAGATGCAGTGGGAGATCTCGGCCTTTTTAAGCCAACGTCTTTCTGAGTTCTCACTTTGAGTGAGGCAATGCCCATTCAGTGAATAGGCCCTTTTAAGAAGTTAGTCAAGTGATGGCCCCTTTCATCTCCCCCCTCCCAAAAAAAAAATAATCAAACTGGGAGAGGAAGACCTTTAGGGTTGCTTCCCAAAAAGAGAAACAGCTACTATTTACATTCACTCTGAACTAGGAGGGCCCCCAAAATAACCCTTAAGTGGTGCTTGGGCAGGGATCTATTGTTGTCCAATCCACGAGACCAAGAGTGAATTGGGTTTAAGACTTGGTCTTTAAGAAAGAAATGTGGCCAGTAAAACCCAGTTCTGTTGTATCACTCTCATTTCTTTTCCCATTTTTTTCTTCTGCATCTCTTATTTGATTTTTAAAATCCTTTTTGAGCCCTTCCATGAGTTCTTTTAGTGACATTTTTCTTTGAAGCTTTGCATGTAGGCATTTTGACTCCTATGGTTTTAAATGTTGCAACGTCTCTAATACCTTGGTCCCTCTGTCCACTCCCACTGTGGCCACCCCATGGCCCTTATATCTTCTCACCTAGGATAAGTCATTCTCTCTTCAGTATATTTCCTTTTTAATCCATAGGATACTTCCATTTTGTTGATCAAGTAATCTTTCTGGTGAATGGCTGTAGTCATGTTACTCCTCAACTCAAAAGCCTTCAATGACTTCTTTCTGTCTATTGAATAAAGTCTAAACTATTATCCCTGACATTCAAAGCCCTTGGCAATCTGACTCCAATGAATCTATGTGATCTCATCATATATTACACCTCATCAAAGGATCATAGAATTAAAGGTCATCTGG